GAAATAGACGCATCCAAATAAAAACTCCATTCATCTAATTTAAACTTTCACTCTCAGCCCTCCAGACCCAGTCGACTTTTCACTGAAGCAAGTTTGTCCTCTTTTCGTTTAAAAGCATATTCACAAATATGGTACAATTTGGAGGTCATTATGGCTTCACTTGGAGCGGTTCTGTGGACGACAAGAAAACAAAGACACACGTTTGTCACAAGATCAACACCGAGTTTCACAAAAGTTATGGCCCAAACATCCAGCAGCCCCACAACAACACAAACCATGCAGCTCGTACCATCGGTCAGGGGTGGTTTTTGTGTCCATCGCAGGTAGATGGGTGCCTGCCGGTAGGACCTTATGGTCTACATCGGCCCCGATGACAGGCACTTCAAAAGGGTCTCCTCCGTCTCCGTCGGCAAGGAAAAGCTCAGCGTCCGAGTCGTATTCATAAGAGTAGTAGGACACCTCGGCTATGGAGCCTTGTTCTTCAACACCTAAAAGGACAAAACGGATTGAATAAAAGCGGAGAGAAAAAAGGCCAACAAAGCAGTTTGAAGCCAAAGATGTCCTGATGCATTCTTAATAATCCAGATAGAGAAGTCTAACAAGGTTGAGTCAGGTCCTCTGGACGGGTTGTTCTTCGTTGAAATGTTTCGTCTTTTATCTGAGAGACTTCTTCAGTCTTAGGAGGTGCAAACAAACTCAGTCATATAAGCAGTATAGTAGTGGATCAACTAGTTAACCGGAGACACCCAAAACTGGTTGTTCTCATGCAAAAGAGAACCATCAGCCTAACTATCGTTAATACCCTGATGTTCACACAGGAATGAGTCATACTCGCAATACCAGCATTTTAAGAGGGGGATGACTGGACACAGAGACCTCCACCCCTTTTTAAAAACAAACAGTTTCTCTTCACAAAAATGGCTTCCTTTACTCCTTCTGTCAGAGCAATGTTGTGTATGTTAAGTGACGAGGAGACGAAACGTTTGAACAAAGAAGCCCACCCAGAGGACCTGACTGGATCTATTTTTAATGTGCCAAGAAACATGCACCGACAAAGCATGGAGGAATGACTGCAAAGCAAGTAAAAATAAAAAGAAAAAAGAAAAGATTTAAAGCTTAAAAAAAAAAAAATAAAATCATCTGAACAGATGCAGTACAACATTTCTGTCAGCAGGGGTTGCACCCTACTTAAATTCTTTCACTAAAGCATCACTTGTAATAAATAGTCATTTTATAATGACCAGCAGGTGATTATTTCTTATCTTTTATGGTCATGACACACATTAGATCTCATTCTAAAATTCAAATAAACAAACAATTGCCTTTAAAAATTAGGAAGAAAAAAAAGAACAATGAAAACACATATAATGTGAAAATGTTACTCCAAATGATTCCTGCGAGTCTGTGCTTTGCTACAAGTTCACTAATAAAACAAGTCTGCACAGGGAGGCTAATTCCAAAGCTTCGGCTTCCTTCACGGTCTCATTGAAACTGTCAGTTCATTGGCAGAACCCACTATTACCTATTGCACTCAGCGGTGGCATGTTGTCAACATTTTAATGGTTTAAAATGAAAGTGTTTTAGAAGTATCTCATAACTTGAACCACCCTGGGGTTTTCCTTTAGTCCCTGAATATAGTTCGGTATAAACACTACCAAGGAACTCCGAAAAAGTATCTTTTATATGTTTTTTTTCCTGAACACACATTTAATTGTGCTTGCAAACAAAAAAGACATATAACGTCCTGATGCATCTCAGTAGACATATAACATGTGTGTGTGATAGAAAAGCATTCCTGTGACGACTGTGAAGCATGTAGCGTTTGTACCGAGGAGACCTTTGACTTTGAGATCAGCTTTGTGAGCAGGAGCTACTGGCTGAGGAACAAGTCGAAGCAGGTCAAGCCACATCAAACACACACACACCTGCCTTCAACCCAGACACTCACAGGCAGAGTTCAAACAGTGACCTCCCCACCCCCCTTCAACACAGCATGTTAGGATTGCTTCACACACAGCCAAACATCTCCCTTAAAATCCACCCAAAACACATACAAACAAACACAGAACTTGTTTCATTTCGGCATTCTACATTTCATTTCCAGACATATATATGCTAACAATAGGTGGTGATGTGCTGTAAATCTTCACCGAATCAAAACAAGTTGATAAAAGGAATGCAAGGTGATGAAAAAAAAGTTTGCAGAAGCAGATTAACTACTTGGTAAACTAAACACAGCTGCTGAGTCTTGACAGTTTGTGCATAATCTGAAGAAATACGAGCATCTGATGAATAGGGAAGAATGGGGTGGATGGATTTACCTGTGTGTACAGGCACAGAGGGTTGCTCCGTTTCCTGGCTCACTACTGGCTGTGTGTCTCTGGGGATGTCCACTGGAAACACAAGGTAATCACCACAAAATCAGGCTAAATCAAAAATTTGGTACTCCTTGAACGGAGGACGAAGGTGTAGTCATTTTGGTCAAACCTTCAAAATAGAATTATGTGCAATCACACGTGACACTGCCAAACCTCATGTGATCACTAAGCTTTTAAGAGTATATGATAGAGATAACATTCAAATACTGCTTCAACTAATTTTAGCTCAGCGTATATTCAAYTGGCCGAAATATGGCCATTTTTGGTTAGCTGTGGTCGTCATCTTGAATGGGGTTGACTCCAAAAAATATAACGTTGTAGATGTATCGACTGCTTTCACAATTTTTCATTCAAATCTGTCCAGTGGTTCAAAAGATATTACGCTAACAGACTGACAAAAGTGCAACACATAGCGTTTTGCAGCAGGTGATAAAAAAAAATCGTTTATTAGCGTTGTTTGATCTGAATACTGAGCAACGCTTCTTTGTCAAACAGGGATGTACGCTTGTGTTAAAATTTATCTTTCCAAAAATAGCAGCAGCAGTCAACGCACAGCCAAGAGGCCATGTGTGAAAACAAACCTCCCCACCAATCCCCCCCCACTTCCTAATATGTGGAAATGGTGACATAAATCTGCTCTATGCAACCATACACAAACAAGGCCACGGAGCAACGGGGAAAGAAAAATAAATAAATAAAAATATGACTTTGATGATCTGTTGCATGAAACACTTGGCACTGACAGAAGATTTTTCCCACCAAAGTTTCGTCTATGCCTTTCCACAACATGAAGGCTCCTTTGTTGTTGGGCTGTGCGTCGGAAAGGAATTCAAGGATTTCTGAGGCTGGACAAAAGCACTCTGTCCTTTGAAGAGAGCGCGCGAGAGAGACAGATAGAGAGAAAGAGAGCCCTGCAATAAGACGAAAAGTGAGAGAGGATTGGCAGGGGGTGGAGACCAGTGAAAAATCGCGCACCCCACCACCCCAGAACCCTGTCCAGTAATCACTCATCACCTGTGTTTCCTCAGCTCAGATCATGGCACACCAAAGCTGAACTTAGATGCTGTCACAGGTGCACACATCWACCCAAAACATCATGAAGGATTACACACAGAGTTACAACAAAGCAAAGTAAGTGTRACCGGCAGGACACACACACAAGCAGTACCAGCCAAAAGACAGGACACAATAATTCAGAAGGATCAGATGTAATCCRACGCAGGGGCGGAGCCAAGGGGTGGCCCTGGTCACCATAGAAAAATCTTTGGCCACCTCAACTCCTGATTTGCCAGCAAGAGATATTCCTATATGCAGACTGTTCGTTTCATGTGCACTGCTCAGATAGGTAATTCTCATGATGTAATACTACATGATAGTTACTGCCTGTAAGTACATGAGACAATGACCAAGAAACACGATTACATCTTCAGCAAAATGCCACGTAGTTCAGGTCTTTTCTGGGCCAACTCTGTGTGACCAGTGGTCCCAGTCTGGTCACCCCTAAACAAAGTTTGACAGCGAACAAACGGGATGTTAGTAGCGATTAGACAGTCCTTACCGTGTGGACACTGAGAGGGTGGAACCTGCTTTATACGCGTCCCGTTTCGACAGGCWAACACCTCCATCTGACACTGGTTCCAGTAGAGCTGCCCGTCAGATCCACAAACAGGCTCCCCCTCGTAGCCGCAGTCCCTATAGCACGTGCAGCGCTCGAACTGCTCCTTCTCAAAGCAACCGAACATGTTGCACTGGTTTGCTTGTGCAAAACCTGCAGAAAGAGATACATTTAGGAGATCAATGAAGTTGAGGCGTCTGCAAATAGTTACAGCAGTACAACAATGGAGCAAAAATTTGTTCTTTAAAATGTATATAAAAGGAAATGCAAGGATTTGATCATCTCATAAATTCATATTTAATTCATAATGAAACAAGTCATTTTACTGACCTGTAGCACTGAACTCAATCAATACTACTGCAGCTGTTTTTTCATACCACTTACTGTCCTTTTACACACTTTCAAAATGTTTCAGGCATACCGTTTGAARTTCACTGTGTTTCATTGTGAATGAAATTTGGGTTTAAGAGATTCATAAATCATTGTATTTTGTTTTTCTTTACGTTTTACAGAAGTCCCCAACTGTTTTTTTTTTAATGGAGACTGTAGGATATGCGTTCCCACCTATCCACKGGTTTGTTGAGCTCTCCACCTCATTGCACGTTGGTCCATCACACAGCTCCCGTGCAAGTGGACTGCTCTCACTAACGTTGTAGAAYCTGGTGGCCTCAAAAGCTGCATTGCAAGCAAAAGCCCACACCGGCACATTTATACACAAAAGAAATACACAAAAGAACTTAAAACATTTAAACAYTTCCCTCAAACATTCCAAGCATTAGGAATGTTTTCCTTGTCTTTAACCTTAAAAAGGTTCATCACCTGGTTCATAGTAGTCATAGATCTTGACGGGAACAGGTGCCGTCTTGCCCACAATGTATTCCCTGACAGCTTGGAAGGCCACACACGTCATACACTGACTGGGAATCTAAGAAAAAAGTAACACCCACAGGGTGAAATGCAAACACATTTGCACTTTTGTACTCTCAAGAGTCAACCACCCTCCTCTGTGATTTCACAGACAGAAATGACAAATGGCCGTTTACCTCACCTCATCAAAGTAGAACAACACTTTTCTGCCGTTCAGCTCATACCTCTTCAGACCCACTCTCTTATCCATCAAAAGCTGAAGATGACAAGCAGAATGATAACTCAACAGCAGAAATGAAGAATTTCTACTTTAGCCTTGAAGAGCAAACTTTTTCCTAAAATACTTTTACGATGTTTTACATTATTGTGTTGCAATGACTCACACAAGAGTTATTTTAAGTTGAATTTCTTTTTAAGTTAATGGTTTTATGCCTTTATGGAGCCTGTCAGGTGACACTGGATAAAAAAGGCCAAAAGATAGTTTAATACTTTCCCATGAGATAGTTAATACGTGGCCATGAGACAGTTATGAGATAGTTAATACGTGGCCACGAAATAGTTAATACGTGGCCACGAGATAGTTAATACGTGGTCAAGAAATARTTAACAYGTGGCCACAAGATAGTTAATATGTGGTCACAAAATAGTTAATACGTGGCCAGGAGATAGTTAATACATGGCCATATGATAGTTAATACGAGGCTACAAGATAGTTAATATGTGGCCACAAGACAGTTAATATGTGGCCACAAGATAATAATACGTGGCCACGAGAAAGTTAATACATGGCCACGAGATACTTAATACGTGGCCACAAGATACTTAATACGTGGCCACAAGATACTTAATACGTGGCCACAAGATACTTAATACGTGGCCACAAGATACTTAATACGTGGCCACAAGATAGTTATTATGTGGCCACTAGATAGTTAATACATAGCCACGAGATACTTAATACGGGGCCACAAGATACTTAATACGGGGCCACAAGATACTTAATATGTGGCCACAAGATAGTTAATACGTGGCCACAAGATAGTCAATATGTGGCCACAAGATTGCTATTACGTGGCCACTAGATAGTTAATACATAACCATGAGATACTTAATACGTGGCCACAAGATAGTTAATCCGTGGCCACGAGATAGTTAATCCGTGGCCACGAGATAGTTAATATGTGGCCACATGATAGTTAATCTGTGGCCACGAGACAGTTAATACATAGCCAAGAGATAGTTAATATGTGGCCACGAGATAGTTAATATGTGGCCACAAGTTAGTTAATACATGACCACATGATTGTTAATATGTGGCCACAAGATAGTTAATATGTGGCCACAAGATAGTTAATATGGCCACAAGATAGTTAATACATAGCCACGAGATAGTTAATACATGACCACATGATAGCTAATATGTGGCCACAAGACAGTTAATACGCAGTCGCGAGATAGTTAATATGTGGCAACAAGATAATTAATACGTGTCCATGAGAAAGTTAATAGGTGGCCACAAGATAGTTAATACTTGGCCAGGAGATAGTTAATGTGTGTCCATGAGATAGTTAATAGATAGTTAATATGTGGCCAGGAGATAGTTAATGTGTCCACGAGATAGTTAATCCATGGTCATGAGATAGTCAATATGTGGCCACGAGATAGTTAACACCTGGCCAGGAGATAGTTAACACATGGCCACACGTTAGTAAATGTTTGCTCAAACGTCAGTAAATGTGTGGTCACWAGATAGTTAATGCATGGCCATGGGATAATTCTGATCAGACTTGACTCTTTGTGAGAGATACAGACATTGTTGAGGTCAGATCATACGCTGATGCTGATACAAGATGACATTGACCACCCTGAATGAATCTCAGGAATCTGATTTTTACCATGTTCCTGAACGTAACATAACTCTGACTCCTTGTACCAAAAATGATTGAACATTTTGAACATGAGTTATGGTCGGGCCAATTAAACAACTGAATGAAACGGTCATAAATCAAAGGACTTAGATGTCATCTGAATGGAGACCGGATCGGACAGCTAGTCTGGATGTTATTGTTCAGATAAGGAAAAGATTGTGTCTAAAGAAAACTTGTGGATTAATAAAATTTAGGAAACATCATCGCAAACTTGACATCTCTTAATGCACAATTATGAACCTTAATGTGCCCTAACTCCAATTCTCCTTTTAGAGATCATGGCTAAAGTGGCTTAAAGTAGTCCAAATGATCTGCATCTAAATGTGCAACAGGAGAAAAGTGAACATGCTAAGGTGTGCAAATAAAATACACGAATGAGTAATGAGCATGCTGTTTGCTGTGAATCTGTGCATGCATGCTGAGCCAGAAGTTTATTTCCCCCCATAGGGAGAATTCTCATTCAGTCAAAGGTGGCAGCCTGAGGACAGTCAGAGGGTGGGAGTGGGGTGGGGGGCTACATGGAGCTGGTGCAGTTATGCAAGCGCACACGTACCACAAATAATCGTCATGTCCTTAAAAGCATTGCTTGTCTATGCAGCAATTAAAAAAAATGTCTTGAACTTTCACTGCTCACAARAAGTTCAGCTCATTATAAGAAGCTGCAGGACTGCTGCTGTGGTCACCGGATGAAKCCAGGTCCAGGTCCAGGTCTGCAGCATTTATTAGAATCGGCTAGACATGACGGCTGAGGCCAAACTCGCAGCTGTAAACTTGAGAAATGCGAGTGGCAGGCAGCAGTAAAACTTGAGGGAGTCCAGCAGGGGTTCACAATGAGCTCGTTACCCACTGCAACTCAGGTCAGCCTCAAGTGACAAACTCACAGCATGTGTTGTGAGTGAGAGTTTGAGATTTATCCAGGTAAGCACAAAGGTGGCYATTGTAACAGCAGCCTGCAGACCTAATGCCCCGATTATAGTCTCCTAATGAGGAACAAGCTTCTGCTGTGGGGGAGGGGGGTGGGTGCTGATCTGGATTCAGCCTGTTAAAACTACCTCTTTGTTACTTCCTTATTATCCACTAATGTCTAACACATTCTTAATATACTCCTGTCTTTATTAGGGTTCATGGTTTTGCGCATGAAGTGTGGATATGTCAGGTTTATTGCTTCCAGCTGCAGCAAATATTTATATTCACTTCCCACTGCAGAGTAATGTCCATATCTACTGTGTGTTTGTTTATACGGTTAAGTTAAGGTATGTGTTTTTGTTGATGACTGTGTACATGTGAGTGTGTTGTTGGCRATTGACTTTGAAGAAAACAGGATATGTAGGATGTATTCTATGAAATGACCTCCAGATGYGAACGCTTYTCTTTCTGTTATCTACCGGTCCTTTCATCACCATCAACAAGAAAAACTGATGAGTACAACTCAGTATGAGTACATACCCTTTCTAGACTTTCCACATCTGCCCGGAAACCAGAAATCATGGGAACTTCTATGACTGCCATGTTAGACGAGCCTGAGTGGAGCCACCTAGAGAAAGAATCGAYGTGATGAACGGAGGAAACCGTCTTGAGGCCGCTCTGTGCAACAAAGCGCACGGGCGGTCCCTACCTGGYGCACACTTCCAAGTAAATCTGGAAGTTCATCTTGTCCTGGTGGGCTGCCGGGTCATCGTCGTCGACGGGCGCCCGCCGTTTCCGGTTCAGATCGGAGCGATTGTCGGCACGGCTTCTGGAGCGTGACGTGGACTGCCACGAGTGGAACGAAGAGGAGGAAGAGGGCTGCGTGTGTCGCTCCTGAAGAGGCTCTTTCAGTTCCACCTGGAGCTGAAAAGCTGGCTTCGCTACTGGATCGGGTACATTATAGGACACGTCTATCTGCAGACAAAAAGACAGGAAAATTGGATTTTAATCTACATATAAGCTTTTAAGTTCAGAGGTAAGTAAAGTCTTAGCATTCACATGGCTAGCCAGCTTTTCAAGCCAGAGTTGTAGCTAGCTGTTTTGGTCAAACCTTTAAAGCAACATCATGTGCATAAATTACCACAAGATGTCACACTCAGAGTATGTGTTGTTAAATACACTCAGCTACCATCATATCAAATTTTAGCTCAATATCTGTAAAACTCACTGAATTACAGTCATTTTTGTGTCTGTAGGTCAGTTAGTGTGGCAGCCATTATATAGTTATTATAGCAAAACTAATAAAGGATCAACTTGAGGTGTTGGACACGTTGCCTAAAGTCTGTCGACAAACACATTCACAGACAGGCTTTTTAATCACCCTGCTCTTGTTTTTCATTAGAGCCCAGGTGCTGCTGGCCTGAGGGGCTAAAAGAGACGTGCACTGAGAGGTGTGGATTGGGGAAAAGTTTGTGTGTAAAATATATATATATATATATATATATGAAGCTGTGTGAACTAAAAGATCTAAAGCTCTGTCAAACTCACTGAAACAGTCTCATTGTTTCGAAAATGGACAAATAAGTTTAAATGACAAAAAGTAAAGTCTTAACATCAGATACAAACAACACATATATCTCTTGATTGTTGCAGAAAATGTTTCATATTTGATGAGGTAACTCTAAAAAATGTTTGTGCGCATTCACAATTATTTTCCCTCTTTTTTTTGGCCTTATGTATTTTTTTTTGTCTGCTTCTGCATGTTTTGTGCTATTTTAGACATTTCTATATAAAAACATGCAGCTATTATAAAAATAGGTGCTATGACTTTTGGTTGTAACATTTAAAAATGTCAAATATTTAACTATTAATATACATTTTCCACACAAAAACACATTGCAATGTCTTCATTTCTCTCAAAAACGTTGTCTTTAAAATCTGCTTCAACATACTTCGGCTCAACTTTATGCTACTTTACTTTTTTTTCTATTGCTCTACCGTTTTTGTCTTTTAGCTATCCTTTTGTACATTTTGGCTCTCAGCAACTGTTCTGCTGCTTAAGCTAGTGTTTTGCTATGTTTAGCTTTTTACCCAGATTTTTGCTACTTTCAGCTTCTAGTTAGCCTTACTTTTAACTACCCTTTACAATATATTTCAACTTTGGGTTAACCTTTTGCTGCCTTTAGCTTCTAGTTAGTTTTAATTTTAACTACACATTTTCTATTTAAACTTTGAGGTGCTCTTTAGCTGCTGTTGGTTAGAATCTAAGAGCTGCTTTGAGTGCTTTTTAAGTAAAATAAAAAAACAAATAAATAAATTTAATCCATAATAAATAAAACATTTTAATATAAGTCACCACTACAACAAGTTGCATCAAGCTAAATATGAGAAGTGTACTGATGTTGCAAGTACATAAACTGTGTCTTTTTATCAGAACTACAACCTTCAGTGCAAGAGTTTGAACTGAAGGCATCTTACGTTGTTGCACTTTAGCTCTCTAAAGTATATATATATTTTTTGTTTGCTTCAAACATTTTGTATTTGTATTTATTAAAGAAGAGAACAACTGATACATGTGTTTAAACATGAAATATGTCAAACTAGAAGCCCTTGGAGAGTGCAAACCTCCGCCAAGGCCAATTTCCCCCATCCTGCAATAGAGTTAATGCGCAGAAGGAAAGATGGAAACACATTTGCAGAATAAGTTCTGACGTAGTGAACATTTAAGTATGCAGTATGCACGGGGTTTCTTCCCGGTGGAGTCCAATGCGAAAAAAAAAAGTCAGAGACTCGTCACCCAACCTTATTCATCCATAAACTGGTCCTAGATTAAGCTCCTAAATTTTCATCAGTCAGATTCCATCATGTAAAATGTCTGTTTTATCCCTTTTTATGAGTTTTTAACAGTTTGACTACCTTTATAAACTGCTGCTTCCTGGTACAGTTGCTCTGGAAGCGAGTCGCCTTTTTTTTGGTGAGTGGTTAAAGCAAAATACAGCATCTGAGTGCTTTCAGCACAAACAAACACTCACACAAACTTCTGACCAACCACACAATAAAGTTCTTATGTGGAGGGGGTACCTCACATGGTTGATCAGCTGTTCCTGCTGTCCGATAATGGTCCGGTGTAACACCGGTACCAGCTTTGGCTCGGCTGCAGCAGGACCCTCCCCCGTTGTTGATGTTTTCTCAGTTATTCCCGTAACGTAAAGAGAATCACATTTCTTTTTGTATGTCTCCAGACAGTAGTAACATCAGCAATACTAGTTGATAACAGAATAATCACAACTTTCCCGATGATAGGCATCCTGGGAGGTGTAGTCCCAGTGAGTTTGCGACTTCACTTCCTGTTTCCTGATATGTGTCTGACGTAATGACACTGCATAGCCTGGTTGATTCTCTCGAATTAAAAGAAAAATTCCTGTATCCGCGTCATGATCTAGAACATCACCAAAATTTAAAGGTGGGTTCCTTTGGCCAATCCCCACATGTAAAAATATCATGACAATCTGTCCACAGGTTTTTGAGTAATGTTGTCCACAGACAGAGTGACAGACAGACAGACATACGCAACCGAAAACATTACCTCTTCCCTTGGTGGAGGTAATTACTGCACTGTGTGTTGGTTTAATAAATATATATATAAACATTTTTAAAATGGCAGTTTTATAATATTTGGGTAAGTGTGCAACACTACAGTATGTGGCCCTCTGGTAGCATCAAGAAAAATTGTGGCCTTTTTCATCATTTAATTGCTCATCCCTGTGCCTAACTTTAATGGAATCTTTTGCTATTTCAACTTTTAGATAACCTTTAGCTGCTTGTATTCTTATGTTCTACATTTAGCTTTGAGCTGGAGTAATACTTCTTTTAGCTTTAACAACTTAGTTTCAGCTTCTTCGGCTAATTTCAGCTGTCATTCAGCACTCAGCATTCACCAGGGTTCCTACAGTTTAAGGCAAGTCAAATTTAAGACTTTTCAAGACCTCTTTAATGACTCTTGAAATAAAATTTAAGACTGAATTACAATAAACATAAATGGGGGGGGGGGGTGTACGAACTATTTTAATATTTAAGACAAATTACAATCAGCAATTTTTAAGACCTCTGAAAGATTGATTTAAGATATTTTAAGGCTAATTAAGGCCTTCTTTTTGGATTGATGAATTCAATGCCTTTTATGATCTTTTTAAGGATCCGCAGTAACCCTTATTCACACTGTTTAACAAAAATGCATTTTCTCCAGTTCCTCACTTTTGACACAAACATATTAGCAGAATTTTGGTGAGTGTGTGCCTTACCTGCATGAGGCAGCAGCCTTCTCCTTTAGCACTGACAAAAAGGCCTGTGGGGACACTAGGTATCTACAAAAGAAGTGCGGCAGAAAGAGAATCAAAGAGAGTCAGACGGGGCATGGAGAGGTGAGCGAGTCATTTATCAACTGAATACATGCTTTAGGCTGTTCTCTGCCACAAGTGGCTCCCTGGCTACTAACCAGCAGCACTAAATTGCCCCCTATTAATTTGACACCACCACTCATAGAAGAAAAAAAAATGCCAGGCAGAAAACCTCCTTCATTCTCACCTGAAACTTTCCAGCTGGCTGAAAATGCACACAACAGTGTTGACCTGACCCAAAGAGAACTCTAGCATTGGTGGCTCGTTTCATGCGTGAATAAACACAACATTAAAGCACAGTTCCTAAATCAAATGGCCAATAAGGTGCTTTTGAGAAATCCAGCTTAGGTGAGCCTGGTTTGGTTTGGCAGAAAGTAAAACATTCTGGCTACGGAAGAAGCAAACACAGAGATTACTGTTTAAAGCCAGAGTGCTGCTCATTAGATATCGCTTAAACTGAAAAATTCTCGACTGCACATAAAAAGAGTGATTTAACTGAGTAGGATCTCCCATCTGAAAGACTGGTAATAAGTGGAACTAATAAATAAAGGACATAAAAGGCTGTCAACGCGGACAACTTAAAAGCCTAAGCGTATCAAATCAGTTATCCCTAATCATCGGCGGGCCAAGACGACTGGCTGGCCTCCCAATAGATAAATAAACAATCAAACAGCGCACGATTTGTTCTGATCCACATTTACCTTGGCACTCTGAAGGAGTTTCTTGTTGTCCCTGTTCAGTTCAAAGGTCTCCTGGAAGTCGAGGTTAGTGGAGGCCAGAGAGATGGTGAGGTTGACCCCACCTACGTATGACAGGATAGCATACTCTGACAGGGCATGCAGAGCCACGCACGTGTCCTGCCAAAGGGTTCAAACCATGTCAGCTGGAATTTTGGCCTTACTACCCACACTTGAGATGAAAAGTATTATATTGCAAGATAAAATGTTAAAACTTTTGCAGGCATGAAATAAATGACAATAGAAGACCTGTGTGGAAGAGAAACCACCCAAGGCATTCCTTTGCTGGGAGAGCCATTTGACCACAGGCAGCGCAGACGCAACGTCACCCAGGACGGTGTAGGTCAGGAGACCGTAGGCCGTCATCTCCACCTCCGCCGACACCACTAACAGCATGGAAAAACATTTTTCAAAAAAAATACATCCTATTCTAAGGTTTATTCAATAAAAAAATCAGGTCAGGTCCTCAGTACCTGACCGTGAGAGGCCATCACTGAAGCCCATGAACGTGTCTTCATCGGTCACCGTGCTGCCAGTCAGACTCCAGTGTGTGAGTCCATCTGCAGAGACACATGCAGCAGGCTTTCACTGTATTAGTTGCAACAGTCAAACCAACTCCTGTTCAGTTGTTACAATTATTTTGATCAAATTAGCACATTTAAATTTTTTAATTTGTCAAACTTCGTTTTGTAAGCTTCACAGCTTTTCAAGCCTTTCTTCTACCTATCATCTGAAAACAAAAGGAACTATGGACTTGGTCAACTGGTCTCTGAACGCAAATGACACGATTTTTTTCCACATTGAAATTGGAACGAGGGGAACATAGCTGTCCCAGTGGAATGGTTGCTGCTGGTTGAGTCACTGGTTCCTGGGGGGTTTGGAATCTGATCTGTCTGGCGCCACTTTCCACTGAAGATGTGGAAGATTTGTACATATTTGGAATTCTGCTGATCGGCGGAGGTGGATATCTGGCTTATAGGAAAATAAAAGCGATCCTGACAGCAGTCCAGCCTGTGAGAAGCTGTCAGGAACCATGGACGGAATCTCCTCTACTGGAAACGCACAGACTCAGATGCTGGGGGAGATAAGTTGCAAACTGGATGTGATTCGGCAGCGTGCCCATGAGATGTAGGATTACATCAGGGTGAAACTTCAGATGGAGAGAGGCGAGGAGGTGATGAAATTCGGATCATTCTGCATTTTTTTCGCAATTTCAGAGATGCAGTTAAGACTGTAAAGTGGCAAGAAATCTCGAGGCCGCTTGTCCTAAAAAACTGTGTTTATCTTTCGGATCCCAGSAGCTGCTGGCCTTGGTCGGTCGGCAGTTAAAACTTCCCGGGATGATGCGTCAACAAAGGACTGATTCCCCTGCTCTCTCAACCCATATCATCCGTGTGGGATCAGTCTGAAGGCTGTTGTGGTGATGGAGGAAGGGGAAACTCTGAACTCTGTGAACTGAGCTTGGGAGGGTAAGATCTGGTGTCTGAACTTTGACAGGTCTTGGATTGGTTCCAGCACTGGAACGTCACTGGCTCCCCTGAATCCCACCCCCCGTACCATGTGTTTGATCCCCAGCCCCCTCCCCTCCTTAGCTGTCTTGCTCTAGCGAATCATTTATTTTGCATTTGATTCTGTGTTTATGAGTAAACATAGGATCAGAGCATATTTTTTAACTCATCTATCCTATTGTGTATTTCCAAGCTGCAAAAGGTAGCGTGACCATGTTGTGCAAGACCTGATCATCCGTTCTCCCCCATTTTTGTTCTTTGTGTGTAAAAAGAATGGGTGTTCTTAACTGCAAGTTCCTAGTCTGTGAATGTTCACTGACATTAGCTAAGTTTACATGCGCAAAATTTGTTTGATCGAATGTATTAGGATTAAATAATCGGAATGTATCATTTACAAGGACACAATCCAATCATGACGAGTGTTTACATGCACCAGGCTTTTTTTCAGAATAGAAGCACTGACTTGCGCAGTTGCTAACCTTCCCTTAAAAAAACACAGAAAAAAGTTCTACTTTCATCATGAAGATAAACAAACAGCTTCTGAGAGCTCAGAATGGACCTGCAACAGGATTTMATAATGGTAGAGACTTTACTGCACTCCCTGGTTCAGCTGCAGGGGACGCACAGACTTTTATTTATTTATTTTGCAAAGCGGCGCAGGCTGTGTGTCTTCCTTTTTACTGAATGAGAAAACTGGAGTAAAAGTTCTGTGCTGCAGCGTTGCTGTCCCTCCCTCCACAAAAGAGCAGAAACCACTGGATGAAAGTCAGCAGACATGCGCAGTCAGGTCAGTTTTCCACAATCAGAATAAGATGATCAGATTAAGTGTTTACATGCACGTCATTCAGATTATCAATCAGCATAAACCACCTCTCTCGTTCCGATTACAAATTCATTCGGATCGAGCTGAATCGGGTCAGAATAATCCGAATTGGGTGTTTACATGATGCATTTTTACTCCGAACGGCCGTTTAATCCGATTACTTTTGTCCATGTAAACGTAACTACTGGCAATAAAACTGATTCTGATTCTGAAATACCAAAGAAAGCCAATAAGAAAATACAAAACATAAAAGGGGAAAGCAAGAGGTGGTCTCTGCTACTTTTACAACTTTTTCTGCCTCAATTATTGCACTTGCCATTCGCTTAAACTAAAACCAGACACAGATCAGTATGTTTCGTGTTTCATTTTTGCAATCCTTCACATATTTTCAACTGATTCACCTCACATCTGATGGAAAAATCTAGATTCAGGACAAGTGTTGAGTTTAAAGTTGTTCAGAAAGATGGTCCTYGTGTTTCGGTTAAAGTTTTACGGTCTTTTCCAGTTCCGTCACTTCATATGCAACTTGTTATTAGTTTATTCTGCATCACACCATGTTTTAAAGGCTCTCTATACTTCAAGATGTAAGACATTGGATCTTGCTGATGTGATTTGAAATGGTCTTTTTCGCATGGACTACTCATAGACAAAAGAGAAACATCAGGTGAAAAGTCCAGCACCGTTGGCAGAGAGGATGTTTATTTTCAGATAGTGATGGAGGAGTTGGAGGAGGAAGATCTGATATTTCTGGTGTTAACCAAGGAGAAGTGCTGTTATTTAAATTTGTCACAAATGGACAGCCTTTGTTTCCAACAGACTGTGCAGGAACGTGTCCCTATGTTGTCCATTGTTATCACCTCCATGGCTGCTAGGGGAGGCCCACTCTCTCTCAGTCAGCACATCCATACAGAGCTGTGCTGTCTCCTCCAGACACAAAAATTGCCCTAATTTCATTCAATTCAATTCAATTCAAAAATACTATTGATCCCAGAGGGAAATTAGGTGTTGTTGTAACTCATTTAACTAAAAACTTATTGTAGATGCTGATGGCTGTGGGCAGGAAAGATCTTCTGTAGCAGTCTGTATTACAGCGAAGTTGAAGAAGTCTCCGACTGAAGACACTTTGTCTTTCTATGACAGTCTAATGAAGAGGATGGTCAGGGTTGTCCACAATGTTCTTGATTTTATGTAAAATTCTTCTTTCTACCATCATCTCCAGAGATTCCACAGTCGTCCCCAGAACAGAACCAGCCTTCTTTTTCAGGTTGTTTAGCCTTTTTAGGTCCCTTGTCCTTGTCAGGGCTTGAAGTTCATCCAGTTTGTTAGCTAATGATCGCACGTTGCTCATTAGGATTGATGGAAGTGATGGTTTGAACTTCCTCCTTCTCTCTCGCCTCTTTGCTCCAGCTCTGCATCCACGATGCCTCCTTTTCAACTCCTCTGGGATTTGCAGCTTCAGTTGATGTATTATTTCAAATTTTGCAATATTAATCAGCTATGGTTACGCAACATAACAAAAAGCAAAGTATAAAAAAAGTATTGGCAAAAACCAATCCAGCTGCACAGCACCCAAAACACAAAGGAACAGCTGTCCAAAAATGTTACTTTTCCGCAGAAAGGCAGGAATGAACACCTGAAAAGAAAAGAAAATCTCAATAAAAGTAACAGAGCTACTCCAACGTGCTGCCACCCTCAGCAGCGCAATTCCGGAACATCATGATTTCTTTTACGATTTTTTCAAGTTTCACTTTACTTTTTCTTTTTCGTTATAACAGTCGGAACTRTGGCTTTATTTTCTAGCGCTGGCAACCTTGGCCAGAAGAGGTTGCTTTCAGAGACCAGCTCGCTGAAGCCACTTTTCATAAAGAAACACGCCCATAAAATTCTGACCAAGCACAATGGACTAGTGGTTAGAACTGATACTTCACAGCAACAGATACTGGATTCGAGCCCTGGGTTGTTCCTGGGGTCTTTCTATGTTGAGTTTGAAGTTTGCATGGTCTCCTTGCATTTGGTTGGGTCTTCTACGGTACTCCAGTTTCATAGCCTGAAATATTTAATGAAATATTTAATGTTTATACTGTTTATACTTTTCTGTTAAAATCTTCCCAATAAAGAGATATCTGTGATCTCAAAGGAATCAATCCATCCATCATCTTCTGCTTGTTCAAGAGTCAGGTCTCTGGGGCAACAGCTTGAGCAGGGAGGTCCAGATCTCTCTCTCCCAGCTCTCCTGGGAGAACTCCAAGTTGTTCCCAGGCCAGCCGAAAGACAGAGTCTCTCCAGCGGTTCTCATGAGGTCTCCACCCAGTCGAACATGCCTGAAGCACCTCCATAGGGAGGTGCCCAGGAGGCATCCTTAACAGATGCCCAAACCACCTTATCCAACTTCTGACTCCTCCTGGACAACTGAACTTCTCACCTTATCTCTAAAGGCCCCGTCACACTAAACAACTTGAGGACAGGAGGAGCTGTGGTGCTTCACCTGGGCTCAGAAAGACCC